TGATTTCCTCAATTCACAATGTTTTTGAAATATGTTAAATTGAATTGAAAACGTTTTTTTTTCGAATTCACAATTTTTTGTATTACTTTAAATCCAATATAAATTAAAAACTTTTAAAATAATTTTTTTGCATTATTTTAAAATTTGAATTTTTAACTGGCCTTTCCTCCTCATCTGGACACAAATCCCAATGCTGGATGTTCAAGTACCAGGCATATTATTCAATCTCGGGATTATCCTAATTCCAAAAATGTATATTTCTATATAGAGCAAGTGTGACTCTAGGTAAAAGGGTTTCAGACAGACGGACAGACAGGCAGAATTTAACGTTTATTTATTTAGATTTGCTAGACGTCTGCTTCTGGTGTAAATTTAGCTGTTTGTTTAGCATGATTAAACTGGTAATTGTTTTCGATGGGCTTATTATACAACTTTTATATTTAGATTTGTCAAGAGATATATAATGTCTTGTTTTTCTGCGTGAAATGTACAGCCGAGTGTAAAATGTTTCAAGGCAGATTAGTCTTTGGTAACCTAATAGGTTTTAGAGTGGATACTTTTTGATGAGCAATGTTTATGAATATGATATCATATTAATGCTGGAAATACTTGGCCTTATGCCAAGCAGACCTAATATTAACATACACACATATACAAGTAATTTTGTTTCAGTCTGCATGTATATGCTTATATAATTCAGTGTGAAACTCTATGTGTGCGTTGACAACCTAATCTGTGGTTTCTTGTCGCTTTCAATCTTATGTCTGCTTCCTTAGTAAACAGAAAGCTAATTACCTGAAATAATCATTTAATCAATATGAAAGTCTTAGCACTGTCTTCTTTCTGTTCTCCTGGCGACACTTACAGCAATACTTCCAATCTTTCATGTTAAAGTCCAACGATATTTTCGTGTTTTACTAGTCTCCAAATATAGTTTCCTGCTTTTCTCTATTTCCCATGTTAGCTTAAAGCCTTAATCTTCTCGCTTCGTATTCAACCTCTCTCTTCCTTTATCTCTTAATTCTCTTATTCTGATCTTACTCTTTGTTTCCTTTTTCATCTCTTATGCAGAAACCCATTCTTCTTTCTTCATTTTCACGATTCCCACGTTGATTATTTTGTTTACCGTATTTTATGTCCTTTAAAAGCTATCCGCTCTTAAGACATTGTACTTTCTCCATGTTCGAATATATCATCAGCATTTTTGCAACAACCTCTTTTTTTATTTCCTCTTTCTTTTTTCATTGCTGTCTCGAAAAATTCCTGTTTGATTTCACAGATAATTACAGACACCATTAATCCCTTAAAACGAAAGCTCACCAATTATTTCGAATGTTGACGGCTTTGGAAACATAAAAAAATACACATCTTTTAAGTTGTTATTGTTCTTTACTTTTTGTGGGGTATGTACATATCTACTGAAGAGGAATCTATAACTTCAAAAAAAAAATATTTGCAAGTTAGACATACGGCAAGAAAGCAAATAGATTACAGTTTAGCATTGTATGAACTTTTTATTCCATACAGTAAAAACGGCAAATAGAAATCTGTTACGCCTTTTTGAGCAGCAATGTCCAAGTCACAATAACTATATTATTACAACAAAGAAACCCTTTACTGAACATGATGTAGATGGCTGCTTACCTCTGACCATACGCGAAAACGAAGTCGAAGGATAAAGAAAGGTGGCGCTTTTTGAAATCATGTTTTTTTTTTTAAAATTGGCGGTCAAGACCTCTGCTACTATGTATAGACACTACAGGCAATATTCTGTGTTTGCTAATGGTGTTAGGGAATAGACTCATTGCACACTGAACATTTATTTTCTTACCTTCTCTTTTCTCAAATGTTTTAGTTTCTTACTATACTTGCATAATTTAGCATAAATAAATCCAAGGCCACTCCAGTAGAATTGCACACACTCCTAGAGTAACGCTAGCCTCTAATCCACAACCAGAGAATTTGTGAAATAAATTCGTATATTTGTTTTATGGTGATTGTTTTATAGTAAAATACAAATATTTGTTTAATATGCTTAATTTCCTACAAGGTCACAAGTTTAACATATTTACATAAGATAGAAGATATAATTGTTGTAAATGTCTTTAAGATTACTAAATTCTATTGTCTGCATATAAAAAAACTTAGACTACAATTTCAGTAAAGTAAATAAAATATGTTGCTTATACTCAGTTTAGTACGACAAATTAAACAGTAGAAACATAGCGATGTTCGAACTCAAAAAAAATTGTACATGTTTGAAATTCAACTTCTTAACTATTATCCAATTGTAGTTTGCTTCGTTTCATCTTGAAGAAAAGTACTTTTTCATCTTGTTGTGAAGAACGCTATTAGAAATATATACAAGTGGAATTGTTAAACTGCCTCCTATAACACAAGTATTAATCAGTTTTCCCTCCTTTAGGTACTACGCGTGATGCATGCTTGGTGGATCGAGTCTCTTTTTCGATTCATGTTTTAATTGGCAGAATTTCCGCAGAAGACTGCCGTTACTTTCTCATTTTCACTGCATATGCTGTTTCCTTTCAGTCTATCTTATATATTCCACCTGGAAATGGTTGTCTATTTATTTTATCAAATATTTGAACGTTAACCAATACCTCAAGTTTGAATCAAGAATAAAATATATTAACCCTTTTCTGCGATATTAAATTCTTCACAAAATATCCACTAAAATTGCGAGCTGAAATGGCCCTCACGCAGGAAGAGTTTGTCATTCATACTAGAAATAGCGTAGGGAAATTACACATTTATAATGCCATACTGAGGTTTATTTGAAAATATTCAATATGACCCGATGGTGATAATAACGTATGAAGTGGGTGGGAACGCACACCAATGTGGCGGTGTAATGGTTAGCAAGCTTGTCTCACTAGAACAATTACGACTGAGTAGTGAGTTCGATCTTCACTGGGTGCCCCATACTTTCAGCCTTGTGCCACGTCTAAGCTACGCTTAGAAAATCTATATATATATATATATATATACATATATATATATATATAATTGCAAAATTGGCCAAATCGTCTAACAGAATATTTACCGATCCCACTAAATGTTTAATATCTAAAACAAAAAAATAATTGTGTTTATTTTTCCAGGTTTTCAGATAAAATATTTAGCCATCTTGATACCATTTGTCGTAAAAATCACTTTAGAAACTCAGCTACTCAGCTAGAAAGAGAACAGGTTGAAATCGTTTTTTTTTTCAGCCCCACTATAATAGCGAGAGGAAGTTTTTTTTCAATCCTTTAGTAATGATAACAACATTCACTTTTTTCACCTAAAATATATTAATGCTTTTGCTGTAAATTTTGCAAATTGCAATGACGTGGCTCTAGAATAATTTATTCTTTATTTCACTGAAGGCAATGAAATAAGGCACTAAGAAGCAAGGGTAAAAGAGTGAGCGAAAAACATTAGGAAAGATAAAGAACAATGAAATAAATAACATTGAATTTAGGGTTTTAAAGATCAAATTTGACTTGAAAAAAAAGGTCGGATAACAGTTCCACAAGAAAGAAGTTAAAGAGAAGAAACCTTCATCGTAGAAGTAGCAATTACATTTAGCAATTTCAACTGAAAATGATGAGATCAAACTGACCAATTCCTACTGTTCTTAAATTCGTCAAATCCAGGTACCAATGTGGGAAGCTCATCAGAACACCATGAAAATATTTATCAAAAACAGAAAGGAAAGTTACGTTACGGTGAGGGGACATTGGCTGAAGTGGAGATGTCAGGTGTCACCTATAATATTGCAGATTCTTCTTTTGATTTTCTCAACTATTTAGTAGAGGCGCCCAACCTTTTAAATGTGATATCGATACTTACGTAATTGATTCCCCAGATTTGTTTGACATACACAGAATTAGAAACGGGCTGACTTACCGACAAAATAAAATAAAAAATATTTTGTAATAGTTTCCGTTTGCTTATATAATGAAAGCAAATGCAAATATACTCGTAAACTGAAAATGAACTTGGAAAATCATCATCTTCATTATACGCATATAGATCAGAAACACAGTTGTAGTTTTTCCGTTACACATTTGACGACCATTTTGAACTGATAAATGCCCGTCTGATTAGATTAATAAAGGTTAGATGTGACAGCAATATTTAATGCAGGGAGAATTTATTTGTTTTATAAATGTACAAAGTTCTGATAATCAAAATTTTCTAGCATTACATGGTGAACAAAATCTTCCTACCAGCATACTTAGTAATTCATTCAATATAATCTTTCCATTTCATGTCGGCGGAAAACGTAAGACTGAATAGGCGTAACGTATTAATATCCTGGAGGTTAGCATCAGTCATGTTGATCGCCGGCAAAAACTGTCCTCAAAAACGATTAAAAGGGAGCGGTTTCGTTTTTGAGACGTTAAAATTAACAAGAATTGGCATGCCCTAGTTAACAACATATTGTGAGAGATTCTTTTCTCTTTTTTATTTTTAGAACAGATGACAATTTGATATTATCGACTGGACGTGAAATACCATTATGACAGGCGTCAATAATTTTTTCACCAACATGTCATACAGACCAAGTTGAGAAATTATGACATCATAAATGCCGTTGATGAAAATACGGAAAACAAAGGTCAAAAGAAAAGATCCTTGAAATTCATCCGCATTAATATCCTGCGCCATTATTAGTATCAAATCGTAATCTAGGATTTGGATGTTAAAAATATATACATGCATATTCTTCTTCTCCACCATTTTGGGATTTTCGGAATGTTGTAGGTAATTAAGAGCATTCGGTGGCATTAGGTAAGATTGATGAGCCGTTGATCACCGATTTCAATCAAGTACCATTTAGAGATCTATCACCGTTTATTACTAATGGCATACCCTTTCGGTGAGCTGAGGTAAGAGTGCACGCAACATTCAATGATACCGATCTCGATTGCCAGAGCTGCAATAGATTCGATGACACATCGGAGTGTGTGTATTTGGGTAACGGAGGAGAAATGCAATTGGGCGCTGATCATGGAGTTGGTGGCGGACAGAGATTAACAAGACGTGCTAGAAACCGACGTCTCCGCAGAAGTCAAGCAAATTTGCTGTAAAGTATTCCGACAGAATTGCGCAGATCGCGACGAATAACACGACAAATAACGAAGAGGAAGCAGGGAGAGTTATTAGTAAATCTAGATTTATAAGCACCTTCGCACATAGTTAACAGAATCTATATAAAGTTGGAAAAGAGTTTGGAATCAATGGCAAGAAAACGGACAGTATTACTACGTAGACAGTTTTAAGATTACATCTTCCGCTACCTTGATTCGTTTGAGATTCAACACCTACTTCAGATTAATGCAGCCCACTAAAGAATAATTATAAGATTTGACTATGTTGAAGTCGAAACTTGTAATTTGATATTACATATGTGCAAGTTGTAGATGTTGTTACTCTCTTTCTTTTTTTTTTTTTTTTTGTTAACACTTAGTAAAGATCAAATGAAAAGCTAACTGATAAATACAGTAATGGTGATAATATCCGTTTTCCTTATAAGAAAACTATACATTGCCCGAGCAAACAATGTTACATTCGTTTGGAATTTATAAAGTCTGTCTTTTGGAATAATCTTTCAGGTAAATAGCTTTCCAAAGTTCAGTAACTGTTATAGATCTTTCATTATTGATATGTTCTCAATTATTGATAAAATAGAAATACAATGAATATTTGTTTTAAGAAAAGCGAGGCAAACTGAATATAATAAATCACATCTTTTCGTGGTGTAAAGAGAGTGCTTCATGGAGAAAAGATTAATTACCCCATTTGCATTTCCCTCGTTATGGGCATTATCATATCCTTGATATAATACCACCGTAATTCAAAGACGGTATAGAATAACTGAAAAGCAAAATAAATGCTTTTCTTCTCAGAGAGAGTTTTATATCACTAAAACATGCAAACATATATATATATATATATATATATATATATATATATATATATATATATATATATATTTAGTATAAATTATCTTTTAGGTATGTGTGATTGAATAAGTTACACACGTTATGTCTGCTAATTTATAACAAAATCCGTTCATAGTCACTAATAACCGTCCTTAACGTCCTGAGTAAGATTTTAATCTACGTCCGCGTCCGGGGTAAAACAGCAAGGCCTCTGCTTAGGAGGTTTTGAGGAGCGTAGAACCATTTCTTAATTGCTGGTGTTCCCAGGCCCACCCTGACAGGGAGTGGTAGCAATTGTTAGGGTCCCAGTCATAGGCAAATAGTTCACTATTAAAAGCAATACTTTTTTGAGAGAAATTATTGCCAGCAATGCAGTTTTGACGGAAGTATATTACCAGAAACAGGTTTTTGACAAAACAAAGTATTACCAGCAGTAGGAATTTTTCTCGGCGTTGAGTGGCCCATTGGGGTTGGCATGCCGTAAAGCAAAATAAACCAAACCAATTTAAACTAAAGAATACATATTCTATTCATACGAATCTATCCTAAAAATTTTGTCGGCATTTAATAACCCATTGAGGTCGATATGCCGTTAAACAAAATCAACCAAACCAAACCAAACCTTCCGTTAATTGATGTTAAATTTTGAGAGAAATGTGCTGTAGCTGTTTAAATTTCTTTTATTTTCATTTCCCAAGTACAATAAATACTTGTAATAATGAGCAACATATAGTTTTGTAGTACTTGGGCCCATAAAGATGATCTTGCAAGAAGATTAAAAGTGCGTGGGAAATGAAAAATAAAGAAATTTAAACAGCTATAGCACATTTCTATCATCCTTTAACATCAATACATGGATGGTCATTAGTGACTATGAAAGGATTTTGTTATGAATTATCAGGCAGTAATTTATTCAATATATATATATATATATATATATATATATATATATATATATATATATATATCTGTGTGTGTGTGTGTGTGTGTGTGTGTGTGTGTGTGTGTGTGTGTCAGAGAGAGAATAATATATCTCATATATTTAAACAACGGGCAGAATGTAAAGCGAAACAAAAAGGAAGTGTCTTACATATTATATGGATATTTTCCTGTTTCTGCAGAACATAAGTTTAGAAAATAGTTCAAACGGGATGGATTCATGTACTGCGTTCCAGGCGAACTCATATTCCACAAAGTAGAAATGACGAATCTTGGGTTTTCTAAAATGGAGAACTACAGGTCTGAGTTTCTTTTTATACCTGGGGAAGATATATTCCCCAAAACGGGACCAAGCTGCTGAATGAGACAACTTTAGCCTTAGCTTGGTCCACGGGAGGGTGAGAGGCTAAAAAAAACAGCTCGGTGTAGCTTCTGTAAACAGACTGAAATTGATTGCCACTTTCAACTATAGAGTGACGTCGCTAAGCGGTCGTTATGCGACCCCGCTGACATATTTCCACCAAAGGGAGATAATCGTCTTCTGTATCTCTTGAGTATGGTGAAACTATTAAATATTTGATCCAATAGAGTTTTATTTAATTCCTTGGAAGGAAAATTAAAATGAAAAAAAATATCTAAGTATCTTATTTCAAATCAAGTTAAAAAAAAAGAAAAGAAAACTAAAAGTCTCTAAACATTTTTATTATACAAAAGAACTGAAATTATATCATGAGACAAAGTTAAAGATTTAAAAATGACAGGAAAAAATAAGCATTTCGATATAATTTTACCAAAGGTGTTTGCTGCAGGCCATGAAAATATCTTCGACTTGTTTTACTGGAAGGGAGACTATGCACTATTTATTTGGATATAGGCGCATTCATATGGTTAATATGGATACTAATCTAAGTGCACAAATGTATGGATGAACACATTCTTACATTTGCGTTTTCTATAAATAAGCTAAATTGATGAACATGATATGTAAAGTCACTGTTTAAACAGAACATCAATTAATGTTGAAATATGTACCAAGGGACTGACACAAAGGTAAAAAGCGGTAATTGTTTGTCGACAAAGACATTAAAAATGACATTAAATAATAATTAAAATTCGGCGGTTATTATATTAGTAATATTCGTAGATGTGGCACAAGGCTGAAAGAGAGAATGGAACTCACTTGTAACTTGTATAGCAAGACAATCTTTCTAACCATTATACTACGCGATGTATCCATTAGACGTTTATTATATCGTGGGATGAAACGAACAATATAAAATATCGTATCTTTTAGCATAAATGAACTTGAATTGCATTATGTGCTTCTGCAGTGAGGAGATTTTATTACATAATTCGGGATATTGCTACTTAGATTCTACGCTGAATAGTAATCGTTTATTTAGATTTCGGGGAAAGGAAACACAAAATTCTCTAAAATGAAAACAATATTTTTGTTGCATTTTTGATGTTTTTTTTTTGTGTTTTTTTCGGCTTCGGCTTTGGCTTTGGCACCTCCGAATAACACTACAACAACTGATTGAGCTATTTTCTGATTTGTAGTGTAAGATCTCAAATATCAAAACAATTTTAATATTTAAAATTTGAGAAAATTGTTCCCAAGAAGATATTTAATACTCTCCTGAGTTCTTTTCAAACGTTTAATTGCTATTTACAAGCCTTCGGCAACATATACCGGTCTCCAAGTATCAGTTTTTGTCATAATGCTTCTAAAATTTATTAGAAACCTCCATGATACAGACCCCTTTTCCTCTGGTTTTGGCGGTATAATCCATTTTTTGGTATGAGAATGACCCCCCACCGATGTCTAAATGATTTAAATGCATAATTTAAGCCTTTTATTTCTGACAGTTGAAGCTTCCCGGCATGTCTTGGTTTCAAGACGTGAAATTTTAATTATCAATCTGAATGTTTGTTTTAATACAGGGTGTTTTAAATGTCTATGTCACATTCTAAAGAATCTTATATTATGAACTACTAATGGTAGAATGATTGAATTGGTTCCATTTAAAAGCTAAAAGTGTTAAGATGTCTTCTGTTAATTTTAATTCAATTAACACTCTCAATGACTTTTGCATATAAGTCCTAGAGAGGTTGGAAGAGGACAGATTTGATGACCGGTTGGTTTTAGCGATGAGGCGACCTTCCATGTTAGTAGGAAAGTTAACACGCGTAACTCATGCATATGGGGAACTGAGCGCCCTCATTTAAATCTTGAGTATATGCAAGATTCACCTACGGTAAACATGTTAAGTTATATATCAAAGAAACGTTGGTATACTTGATAATTGTTTACTGGGATTCTATTCCGTCTTGGGTTTAGCATTTATATATTATGTTAAAAGGTTCCCTTTTCTGCCATGCAGCGATGGCTTAGGGGTAGAGTCTCTGACTGATGACAAACCAGTTGAGATTCGATCCCGGTGTGAATCAATCGGATATCTAGTCACACTGATAAGAAGTGATACAGCGAGACAGTGTGTCTTAGGATATATATATATATATATATATATATATATATATATATATGTGTGTGTGTGTGTGTGCGTGTGTGTGTGTGTGTGTGTATGACGAAATATAGTCTTAAGATGTGCTATATTTTGGGGATAAAGTGCTCAATATCAGAGACAGAGCGTGTGTAAATATAAAAGTGAACATAGAAGTCAACATTTAGAGGCGACAGTCTGTTTGCTATATGCAATCATCAGGCCTGATGATTGCAGATAGCATGATACAGACTGTCGCCTTATGTTGACTTTATATATATATATATATATAAATATATATATATATATATATATATATATATATATATATATATATATATATACACAAGGTGTATCAAAAGTCTATGAAACATTTTAAGAACCCTTATATCATGAACTACAAAGGGTAGATTGTACAAATGGATGATTGAACTGGTACCATTCAAAAGCTAAAAGTGTCACGTTTTCTTCTGTTAATTTAATTTTAATTTAATTAACCCTCGCAATGAAATTTGCACAGAATTGCTCGACAGGTTGGAAGAGGACAGATTTGATGACCGGCTTGTTTTTAGTGACCTTCCATGTAAGTGACAGTTAACAAGCGTAATACGCGCATATGGGGTACTGAGCACCCTCGTGTAATTCTTGGGTATGTGTGAAATTTCCCTCAGGTAAATATGTTCTGTGGTATGTCCAAGAAACTTGTTTATGGACAATTGTTCTTTGAAGAAGAAACAGTTAATTGTGAAGCGTACCTTGGCAGACTGCAGAACTGATTGTTGGAAAAATTACATGACGAAGAATCTGCAGACATTATTTTCCAACAGGATTGGGCACCACCTCAGTGGTGTCTTAAAGTTAGACAGTATCTGCGCATCAATTTCCCAGACAAATGGCAGACTGATTGCGTATTCTTGCGATAGCCACCTCGGTATACAAACCTTACGCCTTGTGACTTCTTCCTCTGGTGGTATGTGAAATGTCTACTGTTTGTAACACCCTTCTCAGAGACGTGGATTGCCTAAAGACGCGAATAACTGGAGCCATGACAACGATCGACAATGCTATGCTTGGTCGCGTTTGGCAAAAACTGAATTATCGTTTGGATGCGTGTCGTGTAACACGCGGCTAATAAAACTGAACACCTGTAAAAACCTGTATAGAAACGTGGATATATTAGTTTTCAGGAAACAAATTTTGTTTTGATATGCTCAATTAAGTATTAAGATATACGGTGTCGTAATGTGAAACCGACTTTTGGAACACGCTATATTCTCCACAAGTTAATATAGCATTAATACTTTAATAAAAGCCTGTAGAAGCTTATGAAGCTTTATTTGAGCAATTCAGCTTTAGCGAGAGTTGGGGATGGGATATGATTATTTTATTAGAAGAATTATGTTTTATAATTGAGCTGAAAACCATTCAGCTGTCTCAAAAGCTACACGTGTCTGGATGACATGATTGAAGAATAAGAGAAGAAGTATTTTACAGTTTTGTAATTTAAACATGAAATTGAATGCTACGATTGAGATTGTTAGAAGAACTATTCAAAGTTTGAATAAAAAAAATGAAACGTAATAATAATTTTAAGTCCTATAAAGAAAAGGAAACAAAAGACCATGTTTCTGTTTCATATTTAATTAACTTATAGAATCCAAACGGGAAATTAATTCATACAAAATAAATAAAAATGAAAACAATGGAAAAGTCGATTTGTGAAAACAAATTATATTAAACCCCACATATGCCTTTTAAATTCAACGTTTAGATGTATGAAAAATGGGAGAATTTGTGGATCCTATAAAAACCATGAATGACCTTAATTTGAATATAAATGCAAACAATGAATGAATCATTTTAAATTACATATGAGAAACAGGGCGTATTAATAATCAGAAAGATTTCCATCAAATAACTAATCTATCTATCTATCTATCTATCTATCTATCTATCTATCTATCTATATATATATATATATATATGTATATATATATATATATATATATATATATATATATATATATATATATATATATGTATATATAAAATTTTTTATTCTGCTGCTTATCCAACTCCACCTACGATTTTGGAGATAGACTCCCATAAACATATATATTCAGAAACTACATTACCCAGGGTAGTTGGATATGTATATTTTATTTTGATCAACGTGAGTTGAATAATGAAACGTCTCCTTTCGAAAATAGGAGGGAGAAAGCCAGAAGATGGCGGTCACATCGGTAAGATCAAAATGAGATAATATGGACGTCAAGCTGATCACGAAATTTAGAGGGATTGCATTACAATACATATTTTGACGACAATTCAACTGTCGTATCAATGTTGAAATATGCTCATCAAATCATCCAGTCAAGTATTGCATCAAATACATATCAAAGGTATCAGATCAAGCTGTTTTTTCACAAAACATCCACAGTTTCTTTTTTTCCTTTGGCACATTAAATTTGAACAATGGAATGACTCCTATGCAAATTATAGAAGGGGAAATCAACAAGATGGAGGTCACATCGGTAAGATCATTAAGTTATATTGAAATTCATCATTTATATCCACAAATTATAACAATGATTTAAAATCAATCATCATTTTCTTACAAAAATATGGGTGACACGCAACAAGGCACGGGTAATTCAACTAGTAGAACTGTTAGAAATTAATTGTCTCAGAGAAACATTTTGCCTTCCATCAGCATAGCTGATACTAATCTTCAGGAGAGTGACTCATTTCACATTTCGATCTAAGCTTGTTCGCTGTGAAAATATTAGTGTGAACAAATAATTCAATCTGCAGGTAAGAAAGTTGGTTCTCTATGTGTTAGTACACATTATTTATCGCCAGAATATATCTTACATATTTATAAGTCTACCATTCGTCCATGTATTGACTATTACTGTCACATCTAGTCTGGTATTTCTGCTATGTATTTTTGCGATGTTATTGGTGCTGACCTGGTATCTCGACTTCAGTCACTTTCCCACCGCTGTAATATAGAATCACTTTAATGTTTATAAGAATATTTTCATGGTAATTATTCTGATAAAATGTCCCCTATGGCAAATAAACTTTATGTATTTAAGGGCTGCGCTTCATTGGTGGCAATGTCTCTTCATTTTATAGTTGAAATTAATAGAGGCAACAGTAAGTTCTATGCGACATTTTTCTTTTCTCAAAATTCTCGTTTGAGTAAATATCTTCCAGTTTTTTGTTTTCAAGTCAAATTTGATTTTGAAAAGCGTCAATGCAACGTCAATTGCTATATTCTGCCATATTATTTATGTTCTTTTATTATTCTCTCTCCTTTATATAAACAAAAGTCTATGTATATTTATCATAAATAAAATTCATTAAAATAACTTATTGGTTGCTGTGTATGTCCAATGGGTTAATGAATTTCTTGAGTAAGCAGTCGTTCCACGGCGTAATCGATCGTGTATAGGACGGTAATAAGTAGACAGGAATAAAAAGGACACCTTTTAATGTATATGCAATGGCAAATCATGAGTAACATTATTCCGTTTACAGTCGATTGCTATTTTATGAAAACAAGCAGAACTAAGACCAGTCGATATTCAGTGTCTCAAATAGATGAACAATATCTGGTAGACATGTAATAATTTACATTAAATTAATGGATAATCATCTTTAATTTAAATTCCAGTACAAGACAGAACCGATGAATCAAACCAAAACACAATAGATCATTAGAAAAGTTCATACAAGACTAGGTAAAATAAAAAGAATATAATATAAACAAACATTAAAATATCTTGGTAAACATGAATAATCGTCGTTATGATTCTTATAAGAAAGAGAAAAAGATTAGTATAGTTAAGTGCATATAATGAACAATAAGCTGTCAATTGAAAATTTTTGGGAACATTTTCCAAATGACTGTGTCTGTGTTAATATATTTACTGTTTAAACGTTATTTTTATCGATAAAATATATAAGTAAATGCTTTGTTTATAATAAATGTAGGTAATACTGTATGTTATAAACAGACAATTTACTTAAATATTTGTATCTAAGAAAATAACGTATAAACAGAAATTATATTAGAATAATGGTCGGATATAGTCCATTTTATATGTCATTTATTTACTTTAAGATACGTCACGAGCAGATATGAGCGTTCGAGAAAAGATCATGAGAAATTTATTGTTTAAAAACAGTAAATTAACTTTGCTAACCATAGCACTTCAGTCCGAATGACGGTTTCCATTTAGAATACAAGTTCGATTCCTGTTCAAGGACACGTATTTTCTATGATATTTCTCGGACATTCAGGCTGGTAAATGTAGTTAATACTGTTTATTATAAACAAAGCATTTGATTAAATAATTGTATCTATAAAAATAATTTATAAACGGAAAATAAAATAATTGTCGAACCTAGTCCATTATATATATATATATATATATATATATATATATATATATATATATATATATATATATATATATATATATAATTTCGGACCAAGCAAGGCGGCAATGACACAAGTATGCAGTGGATTACATAGACGGAAAGTGAGAGAAAAGACAGAATATAGAGATGATTTAGAAAAGAAAAAAAGATGAACGGGATTCAAGAAGATAGAAGATGGCGACTGACGTTGCATTTACATTTTTGGAGATTGTATTGGTCAGGTAAGCAAGTGATCAGAAGGAAGTTTTACAGGAAGTGCGAGAACAGCCATTCTTAGAAGTGTCAGCTGAATTTAACTATTTCAATAATAAAATGGTGGAGCCTATATAGCAACCTAATACCTGTAGTCGGTGCACCAGGGAAATCTCTCGTCAGATCAGTTGACATTAAAATAATTGTAGAAAAAAAAGAGTGAAGCCACGTCACATCGGTAAGAAATGGCTGATGTCGAGATACCAAATCAGGATCGATTACATTAAAGACCATTGGATTTTCTCAAGAACTTTGCGATGTATAACAGGAGTACCAAGCCAGATATGGTAACAGTATTGAATGCACAGATGAATGTGAAAGATGGATGCGTACGAGAAAGATTCTCTGGCACAAGACAATATTATATATCTAATGTGAAAGTAGACAGAAAAGGATTTTCATACTTTTGTTGTAACATAAAATGCTATCGTATTTATAAGTACGGATACTCACTGTGACATTTACTGGTACAGAGAGCGTGATCATAGGAATCATCACAACTTTAAGACTGTCCGTTCCACGTTTCAATGCGATCTTCAGTTTGAGATCTGATAATCGCGTTGTAGCATGCAAAGGGCTCACACATTTGACCGCATTATCTATCTATCTATCTATCTATCTATCTATCTATCTATCTATCTATCTATCTCAGTCTGTTCATATCACAGTAATCATATCTATCTATCTATCTATCTATCTATCTATCTATCTATCTATCTATCTATCTCAGCCTGTTCATATCACAGTAATCATATCTATCTATCTATCTATCTATCTATCTATCTCAGTCTGTTCATATCACAGTAATCATATCTATCTATCTATCTATCTATCTATCTATCTATCTATAACTTGTTTCCTACTCACTGTCTTTGACGTTATCAATCTCGATTTATCAAATTGCGTGCGTGTGTAAAGATTCAAGATTCTGTACAGATGCTTTCTAGAATATCTGTAACCATCTCTCTCTTAATATATATATATATATATATATATATATATATATATATATATATATATATTCAAATATAAAAGAATGAAAAATAAGATTTCAGCGTTCAAAACATTAATTTGAAACAGGGCTCAATACAAAAGTAGAGCAATATATATTTGTTATGCAGTGCTACATTATACAGTGTTATATAACACACACACATACACACACACAAACATATATATATATATATATATGTGTGTATTAATTTCAGAAATGATAGACTCTGCCTCATATTTTATGCGTGTGAGAGTTTTTGTGTGTATGCATGTTTGTGCATACAGTATAAAAATATCTATTGTCCCACTTAACATTTGTTGTATTTGCGACTTGCGATTTTATATTCTCTCATGATCTAACTATTCTCAGGCGCCTCAAAAATGTGGAATATATATATATATATATATATATATATATATATATATATATATATATATATATATATATATATATATATATATATATATATATACATAAAAAATTGCATTTCAACAATTGAAAAGTTTATTAATGTCAGATAATATTTTAGTTCATTACAACTGTACATTTAAATGTATAATGTCCGTGGATTCATCCCCAGTTGCTATCGGGGTATTTTTGCCACATATTATGTCGAATGCAAGGGAGAAAAATTTACTTTGCCTCGAGTATACTATCAAAAGCAGAACAGATGCACAAATAGAACTTGACGGGCAAGCAGTAGATTTTGGAGTTATTAAATTTCGTAAATACATTTACAGCCGGGAGGTTACAATCATTACTGATCCTAAGCCATTGTTGGGCATTTAGAAGAGAACCGTGGAATATTACACACAGTAAGCGCTAGTGTGCAGCATTTGGCATTGGTACTCTGAAACTACCATTATAAATGTGTATACAAATCCGGATTCCCAATGCGATTACCCGTGGTGGCTTATTTTACGCCATTACCTTTCCCAGGGGAAGAGGTACTCTCTATGACAATTTTAGATACATCACCTGTTATGGCGAAAACTGGTCACCCTGGTATTTCATTGATGAAGTCCCTTGCACGTTGTCATATCTAGTTTCTAATTCGTACTCAGACATTGGTCTGTGTGTAAGAAGTGGAATTATGTCCAAGGATAAATAAATATATCCCCGACAAACAAGTTACACTCCTGGAAATGACCAGAAAGTGCATGGTTTCGAGTGCATTTAGAATATGCAGGCCCGACCAATGGCAAGTGGATTCTCATGATGGTGGATGTTCATAGTAAATATATAGATGCGCATGACGTTTTGTGGCGCACATTTGCCACACATGAGAGCCTTCATGTCTTTGTGTCGGACAATACCATCATTTTTACTAATGAAGAACTTTCCAAACTCTGTAACTTGAATGACATTAATCATGCTCGATCTTCGCTATACCACCCATCGTCAAATGGACAATCTGAACAGGCCGTACAAATCATCATGAGTGAGTTATAAAAAGATTCACAGTGATCTTGAAACTCGACTACTGCGTATCTTGGCTAGGTATCATTTTCGGCAAAAACAACTGTTCAGTCATCAGTGATGTTGTTACTGTATCGACAGCCGAGGTCTTGGCTTGACTTGGTGCATACGAATTTATACGCCAAATTCACCAGTAAAATGAACACTAAAATGTGGTATAAATAGCGACAGGAAAATAAATTCTGTTTTGGAAATGATGTTAACATTATGAACATTCATGTTAAACCAAAATGGATGACTAGTGTTCTCTAGGAGAAACTTGTTCTGTTGGCCTTTCTTGTCCTCTGTGCTGAGTGTGAGAGTGTTGCCGAGTATTAACTATCTTTTAGGCCTGTTTCGTAGTATTTTTTTAGCTTCGTTAAATGTATTTTTATTGCAAGAATTGTCGGAGAGCCTGCGGTTTATCGATTTTGGTATCTATTTGATTATCGAAGGCGGTGTTTGGAGGATGTGTGTATGTACAGTGGTCTATCGTTGGGTTTTCTGTATTGATTATATACGCCTTTTCTTAGGTTGAAGGTAACATCTAGAAAACCTAATTCGTTTAGGTTAGTTTTTACATTTATGTCAAATTCGTTATTTTTAAAAATCCTTATTATTGCTTTTCTAGTTTTGTCTGTGTTTTGTTTGTCGTAGTTTATTAAGATTATGAGACCCTCGTCCCTGTAGAGTCCTGTATCATCTTTTTCGATTATTTCGTTTTGTTCATGTAGTAAATATATACCTATGATTTAGCAGGTCCTTGCACCGTCCAAGATTCCCTATGTAGTGTCACACATCCCTTCTTTCTTTATCCATACGTCTTCATTGTGAAGTAGTAGTGATTTACGTGAGTGTTTAATGATATCGATTTCGTTTGTTTATTTTCTTTGTTCCTGGGGTAACGTGATGGCGTTATCTAGCATGGCTTTTGTTATGGATGGGTAAAATTCTTTTATACTTAATAGTATAAATTTTAAGCTTTGACCGTGCAGAGACCTGCGAAATCATATGGAGCAAGAGTGGGGATTGTAGGATGAGATTACCGTAAGATTTGCTGAACTTTTAGATCTTGCCCTCACTTATTGAAAACGATTCAAACAAGCAGATTGAAAACTGATGAGTCCACTAAAACACGTTGATCTCCATTCTACCCGATCCAAGTCTAAGCGCTCAAGGGTGTTATGTGGTATATTGACAGCTGACAAGTTGCTCTTCAGCTTATCTTTGTATCTTTCATCCTGTAGCCCTGATCTAACTGGCTTTATATACATATATATATATATATATATATATATATATATATATATATATATATATATAATAAATTAACTGGTTTAAAATATAGTTTTTCGCTACACAGTAATAACCATGTTTCAAAATGGAAGCTAATAACTTAAATTAAAAAAATTATTTCCATTTCATCTTCAAGCGAATATTGGAGTAACTTATTTTTAAATTTATTGAGTTTTAAACGCACACGCAAATTCATAATTCACTCTTTCCAAGCATACAGAGAAATCCAATCTTTCACACAAGGGGTAGTAGCGTGTTCATATTTATTAACTTTTGTTGCATCAGTTATTAGCTACGTTCGAAAAAGGGGTTACGGTTAGGTCGGGTAGGGATGTATATTTGACCGAATTCTGACATCCGTTAAATGCGTGTCGTCTGATTTTTCTTGTTTATTTTTTAATTTTATTGTTAACGGCAAAAAGTATTTCGGCATTTTTTCCTACTTGTATACTTCAAGATTTGGGGGGGGATATTTAGGTTAGAATACGTTTTATTTAACTACAATTTTAAAATATTTTCACTCTTAATTATTAATAAACTACATTTCTTTTTAAAACACGTAAATGTAATAGAATAACTTACATTATATAATTTTTTTCATATCAAATATAAGTATGTATATTACTGGCTCTCATTTTTTTTTTTAATTTTATTTTTTAATTTTATTTTTAATTTTTTTAATATTATTTAAGGAAAAATTTGAAAATGACGGCAAAAATTAGCTATTTCATTTGTCTGATTCAGTATCTTTATATTTTTTTATAAACTTAATAATATATAGTTTCTCATGTATGCACAAAGGACATGGGTCATTTAATGACCTACATATTCTAGGATTTCTTATTAATTTCCATTTTACTGTAGGTATATATATATATATATATATATATATATATATGATCTCTACCACACACACACACACACACACACACACACACACACACACACACACACATATATATATATATATATATATATATATATATATATATATATATATATATTTGACATTTGTGAGTAAAAGCTGGCAGCAGTTACAGCTTTAACCAACTGGACCGTTAAGCATTACTGGAAGCACTTGTGCTAAGTAGTCAAGAAACCACGATTCAGTTGCAACATTCATAGGGATTGAATGGAAAACGTGCCGTGAGGAAGCCATAAACATAAAGTATGTGCCGTGCGCAATCACAAACAAACCGTTTGTCTAACTGAAAGACGCGTCTTATGCCCAAAAGACGGCGCTGCCACGGCCACAAAACAGAACCGTAAAACCGAGAGAAGAGCGAACAGTGATGGAGTGTCATGGTAAGAAAATTTCTGTTATATAACTTCTTTTATTCTGATCTGTCACTATCTACATCGCGGCTGAGAGCCCTTAAAACCGCAACAGGGGTACCCGTAAGGCCGAGCATCGTAATTTCAATGGAGAGGTGCCATCTCTTCAGTCGCAGGCAACATCACGGTGAGAGCTCATGGAAGCGGACCGGGGTCGCCGTACGACCAAGCGCCTCAATTGCAATGAAAAAATGCCTTCTCTTCAGTCGCAGTCAACATCACGACTGAGAGCTCATGAAACCGGACCGGGTCGCCGTACGGCCGAGCGCCTCAATTGCAATGGAGAAGTGCCTTCTCTTCAGTCGCAGTCAACATCAGGGCTGAGAGCTTATGAAAACCGACGGTGGTTGCCGTACTTAGCGCGTGTTTTTAGTTTTTTTACACGACTACAAACAAAACAATGGAGCAGTATGGATGACAGGTTTCACCCATGCCAGCCGTACAAATGTATATGGAAGCAGAAACCTGAATTGTGAGAATTAAACGAACTCCGAAGCTTCTCAAGTGTGAATGTGCTTGTATGCACTGGTACGAACTGCAGGCGCTCCGATCAACTGTTAATGAAACCGGAACTTTAATGGAGCAATCATGTCTAACGCCGGTGTTCATGTGTCTAGCAGCTTGTGTTGTAACTGAATAAGGTGAGGTTATCATGATGTACAAACAAACGCGATGATGGCGGGTGACGGTATGAAAATTAGAAGGCAGAAAAAGAGCTGGATATCCTTTACAAAGATGTCTATGATGTGAAGACTACGGCGACCTAAAATTAAAATCAATATGACAAACAAAAAATTGCCATGCAATCGGACTGCATATGTGTGCATGGCAATTAAACGCTACCGGGCGGATTGTCTACACGACCTCCGTGTAGGTTATGTTTCTAGCACAGTTGATGGGAGAGTAAATGAAAACCCTGTCCTTAGACCCAACTCGTGAGGACCCAACGTAAAGTTGGCCGTGAGAGAAGCACTGCTCACGTAAATGCAGACCTGCGATGCTAAGCGTCTGTCCTTGTGATTTGTTATCGGACATAGCAAAGCAAAGCTTTACGGGAAATTGTGAGCGACGAAAGTTGATTGGTATGCTTGCGTCTGACGGCAGAAGATGCATCTTGGGAATCAGAACGACTTCCCCCTTGCCGCCGTCAGTTGCAATGGTCGCCACAATCAGGTTCAAAGAAAGGGATTTAATAATGAGCCGAGTCCCGTTGCACTGTTATTCCAGATTAGCATAATTGGAGCACCAACTTTGAGCCGAAGAATATGAGGTGGGGGTCCAGACGGCTGAAGGGAGTTCAAAACTCCTATGGGATACCCAGCTAATTCAGATGGATCGGAAGTTCTGTCGATGGACTTATAAATGTGATATTGCCCGTTACAGTTCTTCGGTGCCCATATGGCCCTCCTAACAAGCCAATCGGCATCGGCAAAATTAGTGGATAGGTTGTAGAAGACTGATGTCATCAATTCATCCGGTGATTCAACAGTGGTTGCAATCTGATCAATCTGCACAAAAACCTGTGTGTCAGATGGCATTTTCCCCTCCCCAAGAGCAAGAAGGTCCCGTGAGAATTCAACGGCTCTGGAGTCCCCATTCAAGTAGGCACGCATGTTCGTGCTCAGTTTAAGAGCCTCCACGTGGCGCCAAAGGGCAGACGACTTCAGGCAGGTGAGGACAGCGTCAGCTCGTGTAACTTTAGGAATAACCGATAGAGTCAGCCTAAAGTTGCTTGCGAGGAGAAGGGTTGGAGGAGTCGCGGATGTCTTGGAGACTTCGTTCAAGTGCCTCTTCCGTCGTGCACTCATCCCAAACTATAATTCTGCATCTCCGCAGAACTTCACCCTGTGGCGAATTCTTTGTTATGTTGCAGAGAGGATTTTGTGACCGGCATAGATCAAGCAGCAACCTAAAACCCGAATGAGCGGTTCTACCCCCCGGTAGCAACGTTGCAGCAATCCCGGAAGATGCGACCGCAATAGCGATCTCCCCAGGACGCCGTACCTCTGCCAGGACTAATTTAGTAACAAAAGTTTTGCCAGTTCGTCCGGGCGCATCTAAAAAGTATATACCTCCACTGGAGCCGTTTGACCTGTCTTTTAGTAGTGAAAGCAACCCTCTTATCAGGTAGAAGTTTGGGTTCGTTTTCGGTAATGTATGCGTTCAGCCGCTCCATGAAGTAGGATGTTTCTCACAATAACTCAGTTGGTACAGTGTCAAACGGTGGTGGTAAACCGTAAGTTGGTAAAGAGGCACCTCCCAGTACGAAAACAACATATTCTAGGGCCAGCAGCGCTCTGTTAAATATGAAGTCAGTGAAACCGCATTCAACTCCTGGGCTGTTACGCTGAACGGAGAACAGCACATCCACTGACATGGATTCTCTGTATTTTAGTCAGAACGACAGAGGATCGCTTAGTTCGCATCGCAAAAGCAAAATGGCTAACAGCGTTCGAAGCCGTGATGGCGTTCCGAGAAGGTCATCCTCCGCCATGGCTGCGGTCGACTACAAGCAATCCCGAACGGAAGCATGCCTCTCTATAAGACTAGCACTCTATGCCGTTGACAGTGCGAATATCTGAATCTCGTTAGCCCAGAAATTTCATGAAGTAGATGGCGGAGGTAAAAGCACTCATGCTGGCTGGTGGGCACAGAATAAACGCGTTCAAGGCAAGAGTTAGACCTTACATCGGGATAACCCTCGACAGGGTCGCCAGCCTTTCGCCGAACCCACCGGTTGTTTGACCACACGTAGTAGGACGGGACTTGGGGGTATATCAATGTTTTGGCAAAAGCATCTGTTGAGCATAATTTAAAGAAAGCCGTTAGGGTTGTGTCTTTAGGGTTTTCCGCAACCTGCTGGGCGTTTTGTTCGGTGAAGTACATCCTCTGTCCATTTTCTAAGTGAACAGCAAGCTGCACAATGGCTGGGGCCCTTTAGTGTATAGGGAATCCGAGAATTCGCCAAAAGGCCTCACGACTGCTGAGGTAGCGTCCAGCCACGTAATCGGCCACCTCGTCAACGCAATTGTCACGCCGGATACCGAAAAGGGCAGCATCGCTGCCTTTATTAACGTACTTACAAATGTACATTATTCCGAGTGGTAGTGTTCAACGTTTATGTCGGCTCCAAAATCTTGGACAGCAGCGGGCAATAAGGCACCACCCAACGATTGTCCAGTGTGTGCCTCTTAACTGTGACAGTTCTTCCGACCTCGGCGGGGCTTCTGCGTCTGCACAGTGGGTAACCATCCGTCGCAGTCTGCGTTTCTGAGATAAACATATGGTGGTAACCCTTTGAGCAAGTGGGGCCGCTTACCAACATGACCTTTTTTCGTAATTCGCGCCACAGGGACCGTTTATCATATAACAATATGATACACAGCCCCTGTGGCGCGAATTTAAAGATTTCGTGGAGCTAAGGATCCAGCGCAGTATCCGGAATTTCAGCAGAAATAAAATCGTCTATTTTGTTTGCGTCAAACTTATCGTTGAGTCACAGCAGAATGTGGGCATGTGACAAACCGCGTTTCTGCCATTCCACTGTGTACATATGACACTTAACGCGTCCGAAGACATGCCCTTTAAGGATTAATTCCATAAGCTTACACAGCTGTAACCGGAAAACGCGGGCAATTACGTCAGGGCGGTGTGAGTACTGCTGACCTGGAAAAAGTTCGCGTGTGATTTCAACGCATTTCGGATTGCACGTGAACGTGACAAACAAATAAGGCCTCCCGTAATAACGGACATAGGTCATTGCGTTTTGTGTCCTTTCATGCATGTATCGAGGGCCACAAATGTAAGAGGAAGGCAAAATGCACGGTTTGCCAAAATTACGTTGGTCACCATCAGAACGCAGACCATCACAAAGCTGAATGTAGGAATCGGTTCTAAGTTTGAATTGATTTTACTTGATGAATCCTAACCTGTCCAACTCCATTTTTGCACCCATGTCAACAGCGAATTGAATAATATTTTGACGGCACCTGTGCAAGTGGTTAAATTCACCCACCTTAACCATAAACATGAAGGCGTAGAAAACCCTACAGGAGACCGTCTTTGAGGTCGAGATAGAATCGCGGCTTGCCTGGTATATTGGGATTTTGAAATGGTACCCATCGCTTCCGTATGGAAAAAGAATTGGGTACTGGAGACAGTCGTATGAACGGTGGGTTTCACTGATGCGGCGCAGACCACCGCCCCGGTACCTTATGACGAACAGTGGTCTGTGCAGGGCTTTCTAAGGCTCTGGCAGACGCGGTGGCTAGGACATTTCTAAAACGACGATGAGCGGTTTCTTCGGGTTGTTCCGAAGCTCTAGAGGATGGCTTTATCCCTAGTATTCCTAAGACGACATGAAGTTGTTTGTTCGATGCTTTCTAAACCCCTGGAGCAAGCTTGGGCGGTAGCATCCCGCAAACAAGGAAGGGTTTTTGTGCTGCGGACTGTGAAGCCCTCACCCTAGCCACGCGAACTGCGTCCTGTGAGTTTGAAGTGAACATTCTTCAACTGAAAGCCTGGCGCGGCGTGCAGGCATTGTTGAAGCCACTGAAGCTATCTTTTCAGTCCGACGCGGCGCTTTCCGGGCAGCTGAGCTCGAAGCCATCCGTGAAAGACGCAACGAAGTCTGTTCAGGGGTTTAACTCTTCCTCGCGGCTCAAGCAGCGGAGGCAGCTGCCGTTCGCCGTCTTAAAAGTTTCCTCCATTTAGGTGGCATCCAAACAGTAAAGACATTTGGATAACGTGTGGGGGTGGGTGGGTTGGAACTATAAAACAAAAAAGCAGAGAGAACACGTAATAAACAACTTGCGGTGTCCGAAGTATGCAATTAAAGTAAGCCAAGTGCGTGCACGCGGGCAACAATAAACGCAAAAGTGTGGAAGCACGCCCGAGTCACACAATAGAGGTGGTTGACTTGAGCGCACTTACACATAAGCTGACGCGCGATCACTCGGGCGCTATAATGTTTGAGAAATCCTGCGCGATGATTGGACAGGCACCAAGGTCAAACTCCGTGAAAGCGACCAATGGGATTACAGCAGTCTCGGTATTCACACGCGGACTCAGTTGTACGCAGGAGTGTGTGTGTAAAGAAGTTACAAAAAAGATTGATCCGCATTCAGCTACGGTTATTTTTGCCGAAAAATTCTGAAATTTGACACACATAAAGGCGTTGTAAGCCGCAAGTGTGTCGTAAATTTCATTTGAATCAAACCAAAACTGTACATGCTGTGCCTGTGAATGTGTGTTCAGAGGGCTAAATCCTTTCCCTTTGTACCCCCGTTTATGGTTCCCTGGTCAAGTGGCTTTGACAATCTTGCAAACAATTGTGTACTTGTTAGATAGCCACGCGTTAGTGCTATCAGAAACTGGACCATTTGCTTTGTTTGGTGGCTCGGTAACAAAACATCGCCCAAAGACTGCGAAAAATGACACTTACCCGTGCTTTCAAATTGATTTCGTGCAAAAACAATTGTGTTTTTCCAATTTTTGGCGCTGTCAGAACCACCGCCGGGTAATTTTACGTAGTCCTGTGAAGTTTTGTTGAAATCGGTTGAAAAATGTAGGAAATCCGATCCCATATATAAACGAACAGACACACACACACAACCTAGGTTTTTATAATAAGTAAGATATAAAGATATAGAGAGAGCAATCCAGAAAGAAAGAGTGTATGTCTGGGTCTGTGTGAATCATACAACTGCTTTATACAAGGATCACCTCGTGTTTGAAGTTATATTTCTTAAATTTCCTGAAAAGTAACGTCTTCTTCCCATCTCATTGCAATCTCATTAACATTAACACTGGCATTC